AGGTTTAAAGAATATAAGATATTATCATCTCATGATTACTCGTGATAAAATCCATGAAGTGATTCCAATGAGCGCGGGTTGAATCCAATACTTAGAACTTATGAGCACTCATGAGTGTTGTAGTCCTTGGTCCAACATCTTAGACCTCTACAAGCCAATCCATGATAGTCTTAATTCATATCTACTTCCAACATATGACCGACTGTGGATGGTTTGAATAACTTAGTCATCCAGAACAATAACCTAGTTATTTTTGGAAGTTAAAACATGCAAAGTGAAACACAATAATAATTGAATCCAATATGGTATCAAAACCTATGAACATAAATAAAACACCTTTTATTTATCACCATATGATTACACATTATTCATTGTATACTGTTTCAGCAATCAACTTTATACTTGAATTAAAACAATAGTTGTCCCATGCTCCAAGCATGTACACTATGTTTTCTAAACACTAGTCATGCCACACACCAAGTACGCATACTATGTTTGTCTATGATCTTTACTTTGTGAAATAGATCAATTGAACATAACTCCAATGATCCTCTTTTCATAGTCCTAAATCCTTACTGCAAATGCAAGAATTTCAAATTCATGCCATTTACTGAAATCTATTAGATTCTAAACTTATATGCATTGATCCTCTTGTAATGATTATGTACAATGTTAGAAAGACTTGAAAATAACCATTACAGAGCATTCCAAAGGAGACCAGCTCCTTGGAAACATCCTTCTTGCATTAATTTTCCTAATCTTACACAAATTGAATAATTTCTAACTTTGAAACATTTCCATATTTCATTTTGACTATCACTTCTGAACAAGAGTTACATCCTTACAGATTTAGTCAACATGGTCCTTCCAGAATTATCACTATACTTCCAACTGTCCTTCGTAAACCTTAGATTGTCCTCGACAATTGTTTAATCCTTTTAGTGATATCCAATTCCAGACCTTTTGCCTTCTTAATGCCCCAGGCATTTGGAAAATTTTAGAAAGGATGAATATAGCACATGTAATCGATCATATATCCGAAGCATATGGAACACAATTCATGATGTCTCACATAAAGACTAAACCCGTCTTTTGCTATAACATTTCCATTTCTATTTGCCAAGTTCTCGTAATTCAGATTATGAAAAAGGGATGTCGTAATCATAATCAAATTTTAGAACGCAAATAATGGACCCATATACATAATTTCCTTATGTTGAGCCATTCCAACATGAAATTCATATATATATATATATATATATATATATATATATATATATATATATATATATATATATATATATATATATATATATATATATCCTTGACTAAATACGATTAAAACCTCAATCTAAGCTTTTAGATTTGAGATGAAGTATAATTTCCTCTCCATTAATTATAGAAAAACAACTCTTTCCCAGTTGAAACTTTTGTTTTCTATAATTAACATTGCTAACTTACAACTTTTATCATAATTATCATGCTCCCACTAACACGATGATTATTAGCAAAACACTTATGCTCCCACTAGCTTTGACATGTACTTAGAAATCAGCTAGACTTTTAGAATTCAATACTTTATTGACTTTCATACGAAAGTTCAGATTTCTGATACTAGATTGCATTGATAAAACTTTATCATAATCATACACCTTATCTTAGATAGCTCACAGGTGTGTCTAAACAATTTTAAGAAATATGAAAAGGGATGATGTAATCATAGTCTTGATTGTTTAGACCTTTTTCCGCTTCTCACAAGTCCATGTTAGTGTGCCGGTAAACCACACACGCTCCACTAACGACTTTGAGAATGCAAATATCACAATTGATATCTACTTAAAAGATCTACTTAGTGAAAGTGTTTCCTCACCATCATTTTCAATAATCGGAGAGACACCTTATGCCACTTAGATTTAAAAGTGTATGTGTTCCTATCCATATGAATTTGTCAAAACCATAATCACAAGACAAGGTTAGTGACAAATCCAAACTCATATGGATTCAACTGAATCTTAATTTATTGCCATCTGGCAGCTCAAGGGCCTGCCATTGCTTCCAAGTCGTTGTGAAACCAATTGAGAACTCTAAGAACTCATATGAAAATCCAACTTTAATTGGAATGGGCACAGAATATATCAACACAATGGGTTATAACCCTCAAGTCGCGTGCTAATGAAGAACTACAAGTTTTATTCTTGATTAGTTCTTGAGACTTTCAAGACCTTTAACACTCCCACTGTCCTCTTGACATATAAGACTTTCTTGTCAGATATTCAACAGATAGTGTGGATTCTAATCAAGACAAACACTTCACGCAATTGGTCTTAGTTGGTCTTTGTGTTGTCCAAAACATAACAACTTACCAATTTCAAATGTACAAGAGTAGAAAACTTTTACTCTTACATTTGACATGTGTTTTAAACCTAATCTAAGACATGTCACTCAAGTTACAATCTTGGAGTATGACTCTAAGACTTGTATTGGAACGAAGTATGACTCGTCTTCATTATTTAACCATTTCAACAATTCAAGAGTCCTCCTCTTAGTCATAAGAATGCACTAAGATTTCCTTAGAGAACTAATTGTGCTATGGTTTCTTAATCATTAAGATGATCACAAAACTGATAATAAAGTACTCTCCCATCTGTTCAGATTTGAGAAAATTTTATCATTCTGCCTAAGTTGATTCTTTTTATTCGCTTTGTCATACATTGGAACCTTTTTCCAATGTCCTAGAATTACACTTAAGCTTGTAAGTATAACCATATTTACTGAGCTTTAGTAAATTATGATGAATAATCTTATCGATCTTTTGTGGTGGACTTGACTAGTGCACAAGAATGTGTACTCGATCCCTTAGTCCTTCACTTTACTCATATATACATATGAAGAAGGAACTAGTTTTAATTTTCAAAAGATGAAAAATTCTCATTGATCGTGCTATACAACTTGCATGATTCCAAGTTCTGGTCCAATTGAAACTTGGGTGATGAGGATCTTTCATTATTTGGTAAATTTAGACATTACCAAAAATGCACTACTAGAAAACAGGCCTTTAATGACGAGCAAACAATGACACACACTGATAGACGACACGCATTCGCACGTGCCCTAAAAATTAATGTCAGTTTTCCAAAATTTTAAGGATAGAAGACACGCATTTATGCGTGCCCAAAAAGTAGTGTCGGAAAAGAAAAAAAAAGAAATGCGGAGGGTGCCTTTCATAAAATGTGCGTCATGTAACAGTGTCACTTTATAATTTTTTAATGAAACACGCCTTTTAGGCGGGACTTAGCAAACACGGAGGAAAAAAAAATCCCCAAAATTTTGGAAGACCCGCTCATTCTTTCCTATCCACTGCCGATGACCTTCATTTTCTCCCTTCCTTCTCTCTGTAAAACCTAGCAGCCGCCACCATCAGAAATATGGTTTTATGTTGGCTTCGTTCTGTGTTGTAAGAACGCAAGTCTGATCCTTCATTAATAGCTAAAGGGGGAAAATCCCCCAAAATTTTGAAGTACCCCGCTCACTCTCTCCTTAGATCTCCACTCGACGGATCGACCTTCATTCTCTCCCCCCCCCCCCCCCTCTCTATAACACCCTCGCTTCCTTCTAGAAATCGAGGACCATTCTTTCTCGATCGTATCTTTATGGCGACGATTAGACACAATAATCTCAACATAAAATTGGTAACTGAACCCCTCTTCACCTCTACCCTACTCCATCTACAACGAATCCTCACATTTACAAACCCTAGTCCAGTTGCACTTCTACCCTTGGTGCTATTTCTTCATCTGTTCAGCAAATAAGGGGAACACGACTTCTCATTAATCCCTCAACTTCATCTTCTCAATCAAGCAAAAAGGTTTCTGATTTTTTTTCGTGCATCTGCATCATCTCTGCTGCGATTTCACATGGTATTATCGATTTCTCCTTTATGCCTCCCATTTTTCCTGCATCTACTTCTCAAACTTTTGATATTTTCCTGCATTCGCAAGTCAAACTTCTTATTTTTTGCTTGCATCTTCTTCTCAATCAAGCACAAAAGTATCACATTGTTTTGCAGTTGATGTGAGTTTAGAGTTGCTTCATTTTTTCTTTTTGTGCAGCGAGCTTTACCTGCTGAGCCAGCTACTCGATTAGAAATGACACCAATGGTCTGCTCATAATTTATATCTCTCTCAACTCTCAACTCTCAAGCGTCTTTGATTTATTTTGCGATAATATTTACCATTTTGTCCTTGGCTCAGGCTGCTAATGCTGCTTAGAACATGGGGGAGTAGGATCAGATGTCTGAGTATGTATCTAAACTGGATGATGGTGATGAAAGTCAACTCAGGGTGTTTGGGAACAGTTCTGAATGCAATAAAAATTGCATCCAGATCATCTGCAACCCCAAAAAAGGCCTGAAGATAGTTCTCAACATCAACAATTAGCTCTAATACTTCAAAACCCTGATTCAAGATAACAACAAAATCAACATAATTTGAAGAATACTTTTTTTTCAGTTTTCATATGTTATAATTATAAACTGTGCCAAGTATCGTGGTATGGCCATCACATCTTGAACAAGTCCAAGTAAAAAGTTGTGTTAAATCTAACATGTAAACCTGCATTTTGGTTTATTATTAATTCTTCTACTTAACTTAATTACTCCATAATGTCTCACAGTGTCATGTTCATCTTACTGCAGAAGCATATTCCACCAGAATTGTGGCGAGTGTGTGATTGTAAAGTGGTGAGGGAACCTTATTCTTGATTTCAAGTCCTGTGTCCATAAAACAATTAACCTTAATAAATAAGTAAATGTGTGGTACTTTCTCAGCAAAAAGAAACCCCAACACAGATATGTAGACATCTACAGAAAAAAAAAAGATTCTAAATATATAATCAATGGTGGTTGCTCTTATGTTATCGGCTCTCAGTCCCCAATATCCAATTGAGTAAAGTTTTAACCCTACTATACTAAAAAAGGATAGAAGCATGGAAAAGAATAATCAATGGTGGTTACAGAAAGTCTTCGTACTGTCACCTACATGCGGAATAATGCTGCCACAGGTAATGGTGGCAGCAATGGGGCATTCTTCAGGGTTGTTCTCTTAGTTCATAGAGAAAAGGTATTGTTTAGAATCTGGATTTGGATATCTTCACTTTTAATTGTTTTCTTAGAACTTTAAATATCTTTCAACATTTTTTGATTTTACAGTATGATGAAGCACTTGAATATGTCGAAAGAGCAAGGAAGTGTTTGGCAACTGAGCTTGCTGCTTTGGTTAGTTTCCAAATTCCAACATCAAACCATAAACCCTAAACCCATGTGTGTGCTGACTATGTTAAAATGTGTCTGAATTAGAAGAGGTATTCATATTTCCTTTAATCATTTTGCTACTAAATTAATGAAATTTCTGTTCTAAAGGATTATCATAATTCATATTCATGTTATTCTTGTTTGTGACAGGTCATTGATTACTGTACTCTTCTAGTTGGCAACTCTATTTCCTTAAACGTCAGATCATCATTAACTATTCTTGGTTGCTATTCCAGCACATTCGCACGTATCTACGCGAGCTACTTTCTTTAATATCAGAATTATGGTCATCATTCAGTCTCCCAGCAGCTAATCGTCCTGTTCATGGACCCCCCGGTAAAGTGTGCTTTTACTATCTATCTTTTGTATAATGCACAAGTGTCAAAGGGCAATAATGTAATTTGACTTTCTGATTAGATCCTTCACCTAGTTGATCAACTTTGTCTGGCCCTGAATGATGAGTTCAGGAGATATCTTCCTATAATTCTTCTATCTGGAGATGGAAAGACTCCACATTATATGAAAGTTGATCGGGACAAATGGGCTCATGAAGATGATGATGCAGGTATGGTGATTGTTACTAATTTTGTCACCCACCATTTCTATATTTAATCATGTTATATGTATATTGTATTAAGAAGTTTAGTTAAATATGTTTTTTAGGTCCTGTTTGCTGACCTTGACATGGGAGGAATGGATTTCTCAGTAAGAAAATAGTTTCTTAAAATATTATTACTGAAGTTTCTTTCTTTTTATATCACTAATGACTTATCCTCATACAGAAATTCGGTGACGTGGGAGGCATGGGCATGCCTGACATGGGTGATTTCTCTACGGGTGACGACCTTGAAGACATATCTCATGTTTATTGTATAGAGTGGCCCTGACATTGACATGACAACAGAGGATACATGGGGCGTCAACTACCAAGCCCTACAAGATCTGTTTGAATTAACAGAGGCAAGGATGGATGTAATAAAGTATGAGGTTGGAGTTCAAATGATTGAAATATACAATGAACAAGTCAAAGATTTACTGGTAATTGATGGCTCCAATAGAAGATATCCTTTCAATTCTCTACCCTTTCTTCTCATGTTTATTTTTTTTTTTAGTTTTTTTAAACCTTGACAACCTACACGTTGGATATATGAAACAAGTCCCAACTTAATGATCTTAATGTTCCGGATGCGTCTTTGGTTTCTATTAAATGTACACAAGATGTTCTTCATCTCATGAGAATTGGTCTTCATGTTCCCGGATGCGTCTTTGGTTTCTGTTTATTGATTCTAATTTAAACAATTTTGTACTTCAATTTTGCTCCAACAACATCAGCCATTTGGTTTCTCTTTTCTCCCATTCCCATACCACCTCTAAAAAATTATGTGCTTCATTTTTTTGGTAATCAGGTGAAGTAGAACCTGGGATTGTTGAAATTTTTTGTGATAAAAAGTTAATTTGTTTCTAAACTCCTGAAATGAATCATAATTTTGCCCCTCTTCCTTTATCATGTCGTATATCCTTCTCGTTGCATTCTTAGATAGTTACACATATTTGTTATAAGGGCACATAATTCTAATTTTCTATCCATAGGAAGGTTATTACATTTACATGTCATCTGTTAAAACGTGTTTGAGTGAGTGGTCCTATGTTGTTCTATTTCTATATGTACATTTCTTATCTTGTATAACAGGCTCTTGAGTTATTATTTACAACTTGTCTCTAAGACTAAGATATTGTTCATCCTTTAGTGTTTTTTTTCATTTATTAATTAATTTCTCAGTTTATTCGTTCCAGATAAAAGTCAGATTTGATTTCCAATTTGGTGTATCTCCCAAGATTCTGGACCCTGTATATCTAGGACACGAGTTTCCTCTTCCTCTACATTTAGCGGAATCAGGTCTCAGATAAGATGGTGTCCATTAGGGAGAACTTCCCTATGGAGTTAAGCTAATAGCATTTCCATTATTCTTTCTAATTAAAGCAAGACTTGACATTTGAGGTCATTTTTCTGCTACCCTTCTCTTCTAAGTAGTCATCCTTTTCGTTGCTGTGTGTTTGTGCATGATGTGTGTTGGCCTTCTGCTGGGTCTGGGAGGGTAAACAAGGGATCAAATTTATATATTCATGATGCTAATATTGCTGACAAGATAGAGAACCAGGATCAGTCAAATAAGAGGTGTATTCACCTGATTACATTAAGTAATCCTTTAATAGTGAAAAACTATTTACCAGTTGAAGTATCTATCATGAATCATGATTGAGAGTGGCGGAGTTTCACGTAGCATGTATTGTATACGATTGTGATGTTTTTATTTATTTATTTATTTATTTATTTTTAACTTTTTTCAGGCTCAACTAAGTGTTACACCTAGAAAGGAAGGTCGGCTAAAAGTAACTGGTGTGATTTGGAAGTTATCTGTTTCAATGGTTGGATTTTACGCTTTTGAACCGGATTTAATAAAAAAAAAAAGAATTTCTAAAGGAACAAGGAAAGCTAAACATAATACAAATAAACTTGAATTTTTGGTTATCAAGGATCATACTCTCTCTCTCTCTCTCTCTCTCTCTCTTCAAATTATGCAAATTGAAACCACATTGCTATTATTAATTTTTAAATTAAATTATTTTTTCTCTTTCCAGAGTCTACCCAGACTTGTGAAATCCATGCACACAAAGGTGATAGGGTGAAAGTTCATTATCGGGTGAGTTAGTAGATACATCTACATAGCTATTTCCTTTCTTTCTCCATCCCATCCCATCCCCCCTCTTCTTTGAGTTATTATCTCAGTTTTCTGTATCACTTAATGAATGATTGTATTTGTATGTATATCTTTGAACATTCTTTTAAGCTCTCGGTTTGCAGGGGAAACTTACTGATGGAACTGTTTTCGATTCCAGCTTTGAAAGGGGTGGCCCAATTGAATTCGAATTTGGTACTGGTCAGGTGATAAAAGGTATAAAACCATATGATATGACCCAATTTGATTCTTGTGAAATTAAATTCTTATATATATATATATATATATATATATATATATATATATATATATATTATGGAAGTTAACAAAAATAGTGTATTCCAGGATGGGATCAGGGACTGTTGGGAATGTGTGTTGGGGAGAAACGTAAGTTGAAGATACCTTCAAAGCTGGGGTATAGAGACCAGGGTTCACCACCTACTATCCCAGGTACGTAATGATTCCTCCTCCTTTTTGAGCATATTTATTTTATAGGGAAAATGTGTTTTGATTTAATGGGGAAAAATATTAATAAAGTGAAGAAATTAATTTTTGATAAATAGGTGGGGCTACACTTATATTTGATAAACAATGAGCTATGAGTATGATCACAAGAATCCAGATCGTGACCTTTTAGTAGGAGGGGAGAATTCTGGATTTGATACTTTAATTTTGTTCCCTAGTATCTTAAAAAACAAAACATATATGTCTTGGACATGTATTTGGGACACCATTTTAACTCCTTGTTTCACTTAGGTTGAAGTGACGAGGTTAGAGAAGTTAATATATTGATATTTTAAAGCAATTCAGAAAACTAAACAAAAAGACTATTGTTTTTATTTAATATGTTAATTAGAGTTAATATATTATTAAACACATCTTTTTCGAACGATAATAGCAACAAACTTGAAGAACTACCCGAGATGTTTTCTAAAGCAAAGGGAAGGAGAGTTGGTTCAAGAAAAGGCTGAGGTTAAGAAGCTTGCAAGTTTTCTATAGCAGGTTAGTAATAGTATTTCATTATTTTCTAAAGCATGCTAGTGAACAGTATCATGGCTCTATGATTGAACCTTCAAATGACATCTCTAGACTTATGTTTCTGTATTGCAGGATTGGGCCAATGAACTCTGAAATCAAGCAACAAAAGGTTGTAAAAAGCATAGAAAGCATGCAATATTAACTAACCCTTTACCTTTATATGTATCTTCATCTGTATCTATACCTGTTATTTTATTGATGGTTGTGTGTTGGATTGATAGTTAATGTTGGATACGGTTGAGGCTGGAGGATAATTGATGCCACATAGGATTCCGGTTGACACGTCACCTAATTAGCAACTGCACATGAAGAAGTTGGGAATTCTAGAGTGGGAATTGGGACAAGTACTAATTTATCCCCTTCTACAAATGAGTTTACTTTCTTACCCTTTTACCTTTTTACCAATGAATTTACATTATTATTCTTTTTTTACAACTGATTTTACCTTCTTACCCTTTACAGTTATCCAGGAGCTGGATGCATTTTAGATCCCATCATTTTAATCTTAACTTGGTTGACTTTGTTTATCAGTTTGTAACTTGTGGTTTGATTTGGTTTCATAATATTCATAGTTAGTTAGACTTTGTTATGGAGCTACTTTCCTAACTCGAAAGTAAACAGGTGAGTTACTTGTGTTTGAATTTGTATGACATATATATATATATATATATATATATATATATATATATATATATATATAGGAAATAAGATGGAATAAGTGGTTGTGGTTGTGTACAAATACTGGGCATATAAAATTTTATAAAATTGTAAATGTGGTGTAAGGGTAGTTCTAAATATTTGCATCTGGTTTCAGGGGTTACTCAAGGAAAATGCAAATGCTAGCAAATACTGGGCATATAGAGGTGACTTTGAAGATACACCAAATGACTTAAATTTCTGCTTAACTGGTCTCGTATGGCCTGATCGGACTCCTCATCCTGCTGTAAATGGTGATTACTATAATTTTTTTGCTTATTATTTAGGTTTTTGTTTAGTTATTTCCAACAAAAATGTTTCCATGATGAATCTTTTGGTAGAGACAATGTATAAGAATTACTTCATTGAGCTCATTATGATGCGATCCTTTGTTTATTTGTTTTCAGAGGTCAAGTATTGCTATCAACCAATTAAAATTTTGTTCACCAATGGCGTAATTAAGGTATCAATATCATCACTCTTACTTATTTGTCTATATCATTTTCATGAAAATGTTTATGTTGCGTATTATATATTCATATGTCCAGTTGTGATTTCTATATAGCAAATGTTAACCTTGGTCTTTGTGTTTTTTGTTCATAGATTACAAACACCAATATCTTTCAAACAACATAAGATCTAGAGTTTAATTGGGTGATTGAAGGTGATGGATGTAAACTTGATTCTGGAACTCTCAGTCTACCAACATTAGAGTTTAATTGGGTGATTGAAGGTGATGTTGGTTCTTGAAATGAGACTCAAGATATCATATTTTGGCATGGCTAGAAGCTTTGGAGGAAACGAGACTCAAGCAAAAGTAAACACACAGAGATTTGTTGGCACATAGTAAGCTAGATGATGCAATTGTATATAAATGAGTTCATTTTTTTTTATAATATTTACTCACTATTGGAATAATTATTTGTATTTGACATATTAGTGAAATGAATTATGTTTGTTATTTATGGTATTTTATTTTGTATTATGAGATTTTTAATGTATTATTTAATTTGAAAATTAGTAAATCTATAAATAATATTTTTTTAAAACATTTAAAATTATGATACGCAAAAATGTGTGTCATCTTCGTTTATGACATGGCCTTTCTTGACAGGGGTTTTCTTGATACGCATTGCGTGTCATTATCATGCGCGTCGTAACGTTACGACACGCGAATACGTGTCGTCTTCCTTTATGACAGGGCCTTCCTTGATACGCATTGCGTGTCGTAAACGCGCGTCGTAATTGCGCATCGTAAATGAGCGTCGTAAATGCGCGTCGTCTATAGACGACGCGCAAGAGCGCGTCTTCTCTCTTTATGACAGGGCCTTCCTTGACGCGCATTTGCGCGTCGTCTGAGCCTTTTACGACGCGCACTGAGCGTCGTAAAAGGCTATTTTTCTAGTAGTGATGAAAGAATCAAATTCATATTTCCACTCTTGCTATTAATGGAATCATATAAGCAACAATTGTTTTACAAATACCGTTGTAAGGATACATAAAATACATAAAATCAAAATTTTCCTTTTATTTTTAAAACATTATGGAAAAACTTATCCTTACAATCCATATGAAAACTTGTTTTTATCTATTCCTAAGCAAAGTATCTTAACTCCTAAGAAGTAGCTCAAGAATCCGATCTTCAAACTATGCGATAGAAATCCATCTACGCGATCAGATTCAACATATTCTTTCTTTAAGTTTATTCACTTTTCTTTGATTCTAAAAGCATCAACATGTGGCCCAGTCACATCATGTATCAAGAATCTCATAATAGAAACTTAGCAGAGTTAGATAGTGGACTTTACCTGAAGTAGAGTCAAACTTATTGACTTTAACATCCTTAGGTAAATTTGGCAGCTTCGCAACCAATGCCCCTTTCTTTGGCAATATAAACATATGGACCCTTTGGTAATGGGACTATCTCATACTTAGGTTTTTCTTTACCATTTGGTCAACGGAGTTGTCTGTGGTCGATCCCTTTCCATTAGGAACATAATGCTTTTTCTAGATTTCCAGTGTCATCATTGTCAATGTTCATAAAGTTTTTAGGAAGTTGACCTTAGCAAATAGATAAGATCAATAAGGGTTTTGTCATAGTCTGTTTCATAGGTGTTCCAAAAGAACTCACTATGTGACTTAGAAAGTAGTTGAGCCACCAACTTTCTCAGGACTTTGACACCCAACTCTCCCGGCTTTTCTATATGTGACTACATCTCCAAGATGTGATCACACATAGACCTTTGCTTACCAATAGGGCTTGTGTGACCTTAAACTTTTCAAGAACTTGTGGGTTAGGGATAATAATTGGAGCAGGTGAAAGAAGTAATATTTCCATTGGACATCATCTTCATTTAGAAAAGCTTGTTCAAGAGATTCGGGAAGATCATAAATGTCTACACCAGACATCTTTTGGTAGATATTCAAGATAGTTGATTTAAAGTCCTTAATAACACCCAATATGAAATATTAAGTCTAGGACCCAACACAATACTTTTATAACATGAAAGAGGGATGCCGTAATCCAAGCTATAAAATATTTGAAGGTAGGCCAATGATGATTCACCAATTTCCACCAAGATAAATGAAATGCATTATTAGGTTTTAATTGGATTTGAAACTCCTAGATCTTTTGAGATTCATTGAACTTTTCAATGGCATGTTTCAATCTCGAGTGTTCCCTTCAGGTTTTGTGACTAGGATGTTGAGGATCACAAAACAAGGTGTGAAGTAACCATGCAAATATACTGGGTACCCTTAATATTTACCCCTTAATCGATGTGCCGGTTAACGACACACGCTCCACCGATACTATGATAAATATTAAGTTACCCTTTACCTACCTTGTTAAGTCCAGGTTAGTGTGCCGGTTAACCACACACGCTTCACTAACGATTTAAGAAAAGTGCATAGTGTAATTTCATGAGTTAGCACCTCATTCTCCTTTTCCTAAGTAACTAAGATTGGGTATTTATAAAAGGTTTAGTTACTTAGTATTTATCATTAATACTTTTAATGAAGGGAGAATTATAGTCGTTGTCCTACCCGTTTGGCTAACGACCCTCCATCAGTCAAGGAAGCGGTGGGTGAGAGTGGACACCCATTAAACTGTCATTTTATAGGTAGTAACCTTATACCCCCTTATAGGCCGACTTCGTGAATGAGGCCTACCAACGGTAAGACTGACTTGCTCTTATACATACATATATATATATATATATATATATATATATATATATATATATATATATATATATTAACTTATAATAATATAAAGTATAAGGGTTGAATTTTAACTTTTAAAATTCTAAGGGCTAACTTGGAATTAAAGTATTCATAACTAAAAACTTTTCAAATTCCAAAACTTGAGGGTAAGTTTTGAAACTATTCAAAACTAATTAATTCCATAACTTATGTGCTTAAAGTTGTTTTAATTAAAAGGCTCTTCAAGTTCCATAACTTGAGGACAAGTTATGGAAGACGTTAAACTAATAAAAGAACGTAACTTTTTCTTTATTTTGTAACTTATGGAATTAATTATGGTTACACATTTTGATACTTAATGAAGTGACTCTTAAACCTCCATAACTTGAGGACAAGACTATTCGTTTTTGAAACCAGTGTCAACTTTTATGACTTTTATGAGACTTAAATGTGACCTTTCATGTAACTTGAGGACAAGTTACACAAACACATTTTAGAATCATATCTTAGATTAAAATGGATTGAAAACACATAATCAATTAACTTTTCTATTAATCTCAGCAACTCATAAGAACAAAGATAATTGACATCAAACTTTTTCATGTAATTAGTGTAACTTTTAAACTAATAAAAAACATGAATCTATTGACAATTATCTTTGAAATTGGATTAGCATGAACATTACCACATCAAAAACAAGTTTATATGTCCAAAAACAACTTATGGTAACGTGCCTACTCCATTTCTACCCAAAACAATCGAATATAAGTTGTCAGGGGGTCCAACTCGTCGAGTGCATGAACCAACTCACCGAGTTAGACGCTTTTTCCCTTGGACTCGTCGAGTCCCTTCATGGACTTGGTGAGTCTGCTGTGCAGACAACTCTAAACTTCGATTTTTCAGCCAATTTTGCAAGTATAACAAGAAAACAAGCCTAGGCTCTGATACCACTGTTGGGTTTGAGCATTTTAAGAGTCCTAAGTGTACATGCAACCCTAAATACCTTTGATCTATGTTTTCTGTATTATACATGCAAATATGAACTTTCCAAGGTATTACCCTATCTAGCATACAATACTTGATACTTGGGTAATCAAATGGATAGAATACATACCTTTGTTTGATGTATCTTGTCTTCATTAGGCTTGAGTTCCTAGTGCCCCAAGTGTGACACCTCAAATGGTTCACACAACATCATGTGCACGTGGAATGACTTGAGAGAAACTGGAATACTTCATAAAATCGGCTAGCCCTTTCTATGACTCATAGTCGACGATTTTCTCCAAGAATAAGATCATTATGTTGTTAGGGTGACACCATGTAAACCCTAATTTTCATGGGCGTCCATTTCCATGATCCATGGGTACAAATACACCATGGAGCATTAACACACTATATAAGTATATATGATTTACACAATCAACCCATATATTTAATTAGTCTTCTTTTGATCACTTAATTAATCCTAGATTAATTCTTGATCAATACTAATTAAATTATCTTATTAATATATTTGAACTTATAATATATTAACCAACCTTAAGTGTTATTTCTCTCATTATAGTCTACCCAAATGCATGATGTCATGCAACCCAAATGGACCATGCAGGGTCGGGTCAACGATTACCAATTATAGTTATGGACTTAGACATTAATCCAATAGACCATTCTTGGGATCTATTACGTCTGGATAATTCTTGATAACAGACTCAGTAGTCTTCATTGAAGGAAAACCCCTTTTTACCTGGTCTTCTAGGAAGTGTTTGAATTGAGTTGCATGTGGATTATCCGAGGGATTTGCAAAAGGAGATTGTGATAACTCTGATACATCCACCCTAGACCATGAATTGAAATAATGACAGTCTTTGTACAGCTTAGTGTTACCACTCTTTCTGCGGACTATGCACATGTTCATCGTATCATGAAATCCCCAGGAAATGATTCCAGACCTATCACCATACGTATCTCTAAAGCATGCGGCGTCAAGATCTGTAATGGTGATTTTTGGTTGATCCCCAGGTGCATTTTTGTCAGAAGTCCTCTTAAACAAGAGTTGTCCTTTTTCATCAGCTTGAGCTTGTCTATCATGTATAATTGCTGCAACATAGGGAGCATGAGTGGTATCCTCATCAAAGCGATTTACAACTCGAGAAGTCCGAACGGTTGGCATGACAAGATGATGAGGTTGAACATGTAGATTGATCTTGTACTCGAACGCAAATGTTTTGTATTTGTCACCAAGATCTCCTTCCAGCTTCTTCTTCAAACCAAAGTAACTGGAGGTAAGAAGATTAAAATGGGCTTGAATATTAGAAATTTGATTTGTATTTATCGCTCGATCTTCCTGAAGATCAGAGACTTGAGAGTTCAGTTTGGCATTCTCATTCAACAAATCATTGACTTGAATGTCAAGTCCAATGTTCCTCTGATCCAGGACATTGATCTTCTTTTGAAGCTCATCAACTGAAGGATTATCTACTCCTTGGTGACCTTCTCGGAAAGAAATTCCTTTGGCACAAGAAGAAGGCTCTACACTTTCATTCTGAGTTAGATG